TGTAAAAGTAACTTTCTAACAAGTTAATTAGTTTCGACTAAGAAAACTAAATAAATAAAATAAATATTTTATTTAAAACTTTTATCTTCTTTACCCAAAATTATCCGCTAATAATAAAATCAATTCGTTGATCCCTTATTCATTCTGATCCACACAAAACAAAAATAATTGTTATCACCAATTAAAATACGCTCTCCCGAATTTGATCGGCGACAATGAGAATAATTCATTGGATAAACATCACTTGGAAATGTGGTATAATCTACATGTCTGGAGTATGATGGATAAAGCATTTGAAAATCTTGAAAATGTGGAGGTTGTCAGGTTAGAACAGTTTTTTTTTTTTTTTTTTTGATTTTTATTCATAGTCTTTTTTATTTCACAACAGAGGAGAGTCCTGCAGCATCTCTTCTTCAAACCGTAAAAATTCCGAAAGGGTTGTCCCTGCAACCTCTTCTTTAAAAAGAAAGATCCTAGGTAGTAGGTGTGATCTGATAGTTAGGAGGGGGTTCCTAGAATTCGTGTGTTCAGAAGTAGGAAAATTCTATGAAGGCCCAAAAGGGACTAAATTATTAATGGAAAGTTCATTGAAAATCCCCAAAGTTTTAAAAGACATGTTGTATGATTTACACCAACATGTGAACTTTGATGAAGATTCTTTAAGAAAAATGGAAACTATAGGATTTGCACATGCTGGTTTGCATTATGGTTTTCTGTATATTAAATTTATGACTTGATTTGATAATAATAACTAAATGAATATGATACCAAATGTTAATAGGGTTGAAAGTAATCATGTTAAGGTTGGACTCCCCAACTGGATATGTTTGTAGGGTATTAAGAACAAATATGTTTGAAATTCCTTCAAACATTAAAGAATTTGGTTCAAAAGCTTTAAACGTGTTAGTTATGGCTTTAAAAGCAAAAGTGAGTGTTATCATTTATTGCTTTTTTATAATTTTATTGATATTGTAAACTTATTTTTAATTAACTATTATTCTTGTAGTTAATTGTACAAAAAAACATAGAGCTTCTTGAACATCAGGGCTCAAAAGAAGCTGAGAAGCAACTTCTAGACTTACAAGAATGTCGTAAAACAACAACTAGTACAACAAATTCGTTCTTTAAATTACCTCTCACATTAAGTAAAAATTATCCATGAAAAAATTTTACTTTTTTCTGTTATTAATATTAACAAGTCATACAAAAAGAGACTTTATTTTAATATTAATATTAATAATTTGAATGAATGGTTGATCTTTCTGAAACATATAAATTTTATCATATATAAATTATTAGCTGCAATAAATTAAAAAAAATTGATGATGTCAATATTAAAACTTTTTAAAACATTTTAACAGTGAACTTGTGAAACTATTTTTGTTTGAAACAAAAAAATAAATAAATATATACTAGAGTTTGGATCCGGTTTGAAAATGGATAACCGGTTCCAAAAAAAAAAGGATTGAATCTGGTTTCAATCCAGTTTGTCAGTTTAGAATCCGAATTTGAACCGATTTGACAAAAATAAACCAGATCCAAACTCTAATAAATACTGTACTCACTCCATCCATGTTGTACTAATTTCTTAAACAGAATAAATAAACGCTCAACAATTCTTGTTTGGAACAAAATTTTTTTTTTTTTAAAAGGATACTAATGAATTAATTAGCAGAAATGGTTTGAATATTAGAATTACTGATTTATCAATTGATCCCTGAAATACTTGGTAATACCAAATGTTCACTTTGTCTGGTTTTGTTGCAGCATGCCCCAATTAAAAAAATAGACGTGCACATGCTCTGTGTAACGTGACACCCGCCGATTGAATTTTCGCGTACATATCAATTTAATTCGCGAAAATTAGTCACAAAATATTTCTTTTTCCTAAAAAATAAATTTTTCTTTTTGTCAAAATTTTCTTCTAATAAAAATCTAAAATATTTAAAATGGTTGGAATTAAA